TGTATGGAAAATTGAGTTGGTTCAATAATTTCATTTTTTCATGCGAGGTGTAACACATGTAATATTAAGCTGTGTTGCAAACCGCATGAAAATGAACTATTTATTTATTTATTTATTTACACCGCCAAAAACTGGCTGAATACTTTGTTTGCAGGAAAACGACTCCAAGAGTCGTGAAAAACCTGATCTTTTCGTGTTTGTATATACAATTTAGTGTGTGATAATTTTAGTAGTAGTCTTTCTTGATTGGAATAAGTATTTGGTCTATAAACATTTTAACACAAAATAACCTAACCAATACATGGACATGAGTAGGAAGCCGAAATGTAAACGATTCAACAAAGCCTAACCTAAATATCCAAAATGAAAGGCCAGTGGAGGCGTTAACATTGTAGTTTTGGCCTTATGACTGCAAAAGTCATCAATCAATTTATCAAAGAAGTGATATATTGAAGAAAAGTTTTACGTCTAATCTAACAAGTCCCTGTTGGTAGTTAGAAATTTACAATTTAGTAGAGACCGAAAGACAGAAAAATACAATGAGTTTTGCAAATACATTGACAAAAAAGAAAATAATTTCCATTATTAAGCAATAACCGGTCAAAAGTTAATCACCAACTCAAAGGATGGCTATATCACAGTCAATGATGCTAGATTTCAATAAATTAGTATAAATATCACAGAAAATTATCATTATTTCAATACAGATGTGAGGATGTAAGAAAACAATTTGTCAATATTTAATATCAAATTTTTGGTTCCGCTCGCCGCGTAACGACGAGACGAAGTTTGCACGGCTGGTTGAGTTTCTGAATTGATCAGCCACTTTGTTGGCAAACTTGCACATTTGAGGCACTTGAGCTCTGATTTGTATGTCCATGAGCTTATCTTTGATTTTAAGGTAGCCAGTGTGCCGTAACGTTCGTACGCTCTCTCCTATTGCTATGTCGTTGCGTACATTGGGACAATTTGCGTTCCCATTAACGATGTCGTACATGAACACAATTGAAGCGTTCACCCTCCTACGTTCCAACGATGTCATGCTCAGCGCTTCCAGTCGTTTGTTGTATTAGGTGATATTGTATCCGTTGGCCGCTGTACGATATTCTCTTCGGGCGAACTGTGTGAACTTTCTTAAAACGCTCTCGATTTTGTCGATATGTATGGCATAAGTTGGCAGCCATACAACGTTGCAGTACTCAAGATGAGACTGAACCAAAGCGTAATACAATGTTTCGAGCGTTTGAACATCGGTAATGTCGTAGCAAAATCTCTTGATGAATCCAAGAGCAGCTGTCGCCTTCGATGTAATTGCGTCGATGTGTTTGACAAAACTAAGCTTCTGATCAATGATGACGCCGAGATCTTTGTGGTCCAGCGCGTATTGAAGGTGAAATCACCGTATTTGTAATCAGTGTCGATGATGTCTTTCCTTTTTGTGGTGATTGTAAGGACGGCGCATTTGTCAAGGTTCAGGTGCAAATTGTTTACGTCGCACCAAACCTTCAGTTTGTCGATGGCCCGCTGTAACACCTCCACATCGGTGCTCGAGTTGATGATTTTGGCGATTTTTACATCATCGGCGAACAAGGAAATGAACACGTCGTCCATTTCATCCACTATGTCATTGATGAATAACAAAAATAGGGTGGGTCCAAGATGGCTTCCCTGTGGTACGCCAGATGATACGTTGAATTGGTTCGACTCGCTGCTACCGTACTTAACGTATTGAGTTCGATTTGACAGGTATGATTCGATCCAAGCAAGAAGATTGTCTGGCAGGTTGAACGATCTG